AAAAATGTTTAATTAAAATAGTTAAATATATATATTAACTGAAATATATTATTTAAAAAAAAAATTACCTGGGAAAATTATAATTCCGCATCCAATGAATAGTTAACAATGGGATTGACAAATGATTTGATGTTCTTGCTGTGCAATATTTTGTCCTTGTCGCCATTCTCGAATTATTCTGTCATAAAAATTTCATTACCCAAAAGAAAAAAACAATCAAAAATCAAAAATAACAAGTTCCTGCGAAGCCATCTTGTGAATTGTGATTTCCAGAAAAGTAAAGTAAAAATGGAATTTTTTTTTACTTATATTTCATTCATATCTACCTCACGTTATCCTTTCTTTCTCTAATCTTGATCCAAATCCATAATTCAAATAGTACCTTAGCGATTGCAATAATGGTGGTGGTAGAGCAAGAGAATGGTATAAATTTAAGCAGTTGTTTGAATGTGCTAAAGTAGCACATGCTATTTAATTTAAGCTCCAGTTTACCAAAAAAAAAATAACACATGCTATTTTAGCACATTATCCTATTTAGGTCACAATCATCTTATTTAAGTCACATCACCTTTCTACCACATCACTTCAAATTTAACCCGTGTTTCACGTTTTTTCGTAAAAATCAAAAGTGATACTAATCTAACACTTCCCAAACAATCCCTAAATTGGGTGTGATGCTGATTACACTCAAAATAAATCTAATTCAAACATTTTGAGTTCTAAATATTGTTTTAAACATTTTCTCTATGCAGAGTAGTAGTTGTTTATTTCACTTTTATCTCCTAAACTGCTTGTCAATTTTTTTTTTTTTTTAAATTTCATTCTTAAATTATTAATTTCATATATTTAGTTACTAAAATTTTTAATTTTAGCTAATGTAGCTAATATGATCCAATTGGAGACGATCGTTCATCAGTCTAAAGCCGAATTTAGGCCAAGTATGGCATCCTTAAAAAATTAAAAAGTCAAAAAGTCACTATTCTATTTAAGTCACGTCATCTTATTTAAGTTACATTACCTCTCTATCACATCACTTCAAACCAACCCATACCACCCATGTTTTATAAAAAGTCAAAAAGTGCACTTATTAGAACATCCCAAACAATCCCTTAATGAGTAAAAAGTTAATTTTAAAATTTGAATAAATTAATCCATACGACCAAACCCATTTTTTATTAACTATTTTGAAATGAATGGTGGAAAAGAAAAGTGTGTTTGCTGTAAGAGGTAAGTTTTCTATATAGTGTGATGTGAGTAAGAAGATGAGGATTTGATTATATAATTTAAATTGTTCAAATTACAATATTATCTTTTTATTCATTAGGTTAGGTTTCATCATTGTTTGAACCGTCACCAATTAACTTTTTAAACTTTAAAATCATAAACTTAAAAACTAATTAAATAAAATTGATAGCTTAAATCTATATAATATATATATATATTGAAGTGATAAAAAGTAAAATTAACTCTTTTTTGCTAAGGCTCTGTTTTTTCCTTTTTTTTTTTTATATGTAAAATATTTTATTTTACATATTATTTCTTTGAACAAAAACTAAGTAACGTCACTGCCGAAAATTTTTGGATGGGGTCATTGAAAAAATTTAAGCTCCACAAATTTAAAAAAAAAAAAAAAAAACTTACAAGCTAATAATAATAATTTTGAACTTCTCCACTTTCAAGTAAAATAAATTTTTAATAAAATATTATCATCTTCACAAAATAAAAAAATACATAAACTGCTATAATCGTATTTGATGAGTTCTCATTTTTTGAATTATCACATGATAATCTCATTGTCAATAATATCAAACACATTAAATATATATATATATATATATTATACATATGTTATCAAACAACCATTCACCATTTGATTTAGTATTAAAAAGAGAAACATAATAATAAAAAAAAAACCTAAGTTTCTTAATGGGGGTTGTGGTTTGTAATGATAATGGATGGGATCTTTTTTTTTTTATTATTATTATTTTTTAAAATAGGATCAATTAGTTGTCAAATAAAATTTTTATTAAAAACAAAACAAAACAAAAAATTCAAAAGACTTTTTGGTAGGATAATGGGTGGATGAGACCCATCACCACTTTAATGGCGTTGCCTAAGTAAAGAAATCATTTTCCGTCATAATTCCTAAAATAACTTAGTATTAAAAATTTCATAAACTAATTTTTAAAAAACGACAATGCTAGGTAGCTCAAATTTTTGTGGCTCAAATGGCTCAAATATGTCAAAACGACGTCGTTTTGACAGATTTTGAGTGTAAAACGACGTCGTTTTGACAGATTTGAGCCATTTGAACCACAAAAATTTGAGCTACCAAACATTTTCCTTTAAAAAATTCACTTTTAATTCGGTCCTTTCAACAGATTGATCATTTTAAAGGTGAAAGAGTAGTTTTTTTATTGACTTCTACATAATATATAAAATATAAAATTTTTATTTCAAGTGTTAATAAATATACAAAAATAATAAAATTATTATATTGTTATTCACAAAATCAATTCATATGAAAAATATTTTCTAAAGTGTAAAAAAAATTTACGTCAGAGCAGACAGAGCCTAATCGTATAACCAATAATTGAGGTCAACATTCATGACCATTGACCACCATCTTACGTTGGAATAACACTATTGTTGCACCCGTGACCGATTGGCACGTTTGGCTACATGACAAAACTGTTTTAATGAGGGGGCTACTTATGCTAGTTTGCTCACAATTAGGGGTATTATAATAATTTAGTTATTATTATTTTAATAAAAATAGTAATTTAATTTTTAAAATTGCCATCGGTCTCAAATCAATTACGAGATAGTTTACATAATATTCACATGGATTTAGGACCTATGCCGCGTGGTAGGGGTGAGCAGCGGATATACCGATCCGCCAAAACCGACCGAACCGAACCGATCCGCCGCATTTTGGACGGATGCATGATGATGAGCGGACGGTTGCGGATTGATTTTCTCCAATCCGCCAATTTGGCGGTGATATATTTCTTAAATTTCTTTTTACACAAGCTATATGTATTATAATTTTTAGATAAATTACAAAAATATATATATATATTTTAATTTATTTAAAATACAAATTGTTCCTTTGTAATTTTGAAATTAAAAATACCATTTTGTCAAAAAAATTTATTTAACAGAATTAAAAGAAAAAAAAATCCTAACAATAACATTATTAGAATTATTAATTGAAATATATTTCTGACATCATTAAATATTATTAATTGATTTAATAATTTATTAACAAAAAGAAAAAAATTATACGATTAGAAATTTGAAAGAACGGGATGTTCAAAATTATATGAGATAATTCGTATTTTAAGTAAATTTTAAAAGGTATATTTATAATTTACTATAATTTTTATATCTTAAGAAAAAATTTCTTACACAAATAAATATAAGGATATGACAGAACCATCTCATTGGACAGTTGTATCATGTTTTCTGCTCAAAATTTGTACACATAAAACAATAGTAAATGTTTTATTTAACAGCAACCGTCTTTGCTTCCCAAATCAATTTGGGCCATATTATGGATTTCTCTAAATAATTGTATAATACTTTGATAATATTATTTTTTTTTAAATTAAGTTCTCCTTTGGCATAAAGGTTTTTGGCGTTAAAAGGTTAAAATAGTCAAAAAGATAAAGTTAAAAAGTTAGTAAAATAAAATATTACATTCAAATCATAATCATTTTACTTTTTTTTTGAGAAAAATCAAAAAACCTAACCCACTTCTCAAACGAAGCCTAAGCTCAAGCTAGTAGCAAATTATAGAATTCAAACGATATTTGTGGTACATTTTTTTTTAAAAAATTTTATGTATATTCATGCAATAAATTGTATGTATAAATATAAGATTCATCATATTTAAAACAATAAGTCCAAGTGTGTCCAAAAATAAAAATAAAAAATCTAAGTGTAAATAAGACCAAATATAAAATATGACACGGGTGTTTTCAAAGTATAAGTCCTATAGAATGAAAAGCCTATTTGGTTCGAGTTTTTTAAAAATTAAGGCATCGTTTGGGAATAGGTTAATTTAGTAATTTTTTGGCTACTTAGTTAAAATATGAGCTAAAAAAATTAGTATGTTTGGGATGATTTTTTAACTTTTTACGAAAAGATGTGCAAAAAGTAGAGAGAAAAGAGAATCTTTGACTTTTTGATATGGGTTGTTGGCTTTTTGACTTTTTTAATAACTTTTTGGCTTTTTGGCTAAACCGGCCTGTTGACAAACGAAACCTAAGTTTCTTATTTTTCACGCTTTTTTATTTTTAGTGAATATTTTTAAAATTTTAAGCTTTTTTTTTTTACTTTTTTAGATGCACCTTGCTTAGATGTATCGAAATAGTACAATATTTATAAAAAAAATATTTTAAAAAATTAATAAATACATAAAAATATGGAAAATGTACTGAATTTATATATATATATATATATTGATATTTAGTAAATTTTTTAAAGATTTTTTTTTTTACAAATATTATATTTTTTAAATGTATTTTTGTTAGGTGTATTTAAAAATTAAAAACAAATTGAATTCATTAAAAATATAAAAAATAAAAATGTAAAATGTAAAATTTTTTAAAAAAATATTTTTTGAAAACCAAATTTAAACAAGCTAATTTGTGTTGGAGAATAGGGGTCGGGAGGGGATTGTCAAAATTTGTTTGCAAAGTGAAGGTCAGTCTTTAGGACTATAAAAGCTCTCTCATGGATTAGTTCCGAAAATTAAAAATATCCCATTTTTCAATACCGGGGATATTACGCTTCAAGTAATTATTAATATCCGACTTTATTTTGAATTTGCATGATATGTTTGAAAAGTCTTACAAAATGAACTATTTAAATGCCGAAGAAAAACTCAAAATAGGCCCACGGAAGGCTGCACTAAACTACCAATTAGATATCCCAACTGGAGAGCATCCAATCCCTTTGAGAGAGAGAGAGAGAGAACGAGAGAGAGAGAGTACCTGGATGAGAAGATAGCTTTTGCCATCGACGAGATTCTTAATGACTTTGAAGGTTTGGCCGTAGTATATACGGAAATCCACTGCATCTTCCACCCTTGATATGTTACCAACTGTCACGGTGGCCGCAGAGGCGGCAGCGGCATTTCCACCCTCAAGCTGCTCAAAAGTGCAGAAGAAGAACCCACCAACAACCAACAAAATATGCAGCCAAAAACTACATGAAGAAGACATGGCAAATTGTCAATTGATTTTGGGAGTGGAGATGGAAACCCCTTCTACTCACTCACTTCTAACATGCATATAATGGCATGTAAAGTAACCCCCAAAGTTGCCTTTGCTCTTTTCAATCCCCAAGCCCCACCAATCCCCCAAAGGAGAGAGAGAGAGTTGCAGGGTTTGGGATGGTATGGCATGGTGAGGCGAGGCCATATGGGGCAAATATGGGGCAATGGTGGGGTCATAGCATTGGATCAATGGGCTTGAAAGGAAAACACTACAAACACACACACACACACACACACACGCACACACACACACACAAATATTCCTACAAAATTGTACCAAATACCAATGTTGGCATGCTTTTAGCTACAGCCCACACTTGGTCACCATCTCTAGCCTTAGACACAAAATTTCACTCAAATTTAAATGAAAGTTTTGTTTTATATGAATTATTTAGTGCACATGTAAATTTAAGTAAAAATTTTATTAATGGTATAGCATTGAAATTTTGAGTAACATTTAAGTTGTCTTTGATTTGGGTTAAACTCAATTTCTTAGAGGGCTTTGCAAACAAGTATTCTTATGCTCTGTTTGGTTGAGTGATTTGGGGAGGGATTTGGAAAGGGAAAGGGAAAAGGTGTGTGAAACTATGTGAAATATAGGTATGATTTATTCACATTTCACCTACCTTTTCCATTTCCCTTTCCAAATTCTTTTCCAAATCCCCCAACCAAACACAGCATTAGGGAATTTTTTTTTTTGTATATCAATAAGATATTAAGTGTGATTATCCTTTCACCAATTTCAAATATACCTCCTTTTTTTTTTTTTTTTTTTTTTTTTTTTTAACTTTTTTTTTTTTTTTGTTGTATACCTCCTATTGTTTCCAAACACCCAACAACATGCCCTTATGCCATTATTTTTCACCAATCATAAAAGTAAAAAATATCATATAGATATACCTTATTCACATACAAAAATCACTCACCCTTAAGGCACTAGTTAAGATTGAATTAAATGAAATCAACTATTTTCACTAACATAGAATTTAGATGAAGTAACGAATGTTTCATTGGAAATAATTTAATTCTTTTGTAATAAGAGGAAAATTTTCTCTTTTTCCTTTTGAGTCATTTTTTTTTAATTTTTACTTTTTAGGTCTCTTTTTTAATTTTTTATTTTATGTTTGGTTGAAAACAAATATTTTTTTTACTTATTATTATTTTGCATTTTTAGTTTTCAAAAATTATTGATTAAACTTGTAAAATCTAACTTATTTACCATATCCTTTTCAATGAATAACATAAATATATTTTTTTTAAAACAACAATACTGATTTTCTGAAATCATGTTTTAAAAATGTACATTTTTTATAAATGGAAGAAAAGTGTTTGATTTGGTAATATTTTTACAAGAAAGAGTTATTTTTGCTTTTAGTAAATTTTTTTTAAAATTTACTCACCTTTTAATTTTTTGTTCTCTTTTCAAATCATCTATTAATTTTTTGAATTTATTTGAAAAATATTTAAAAAATAAAATAATTTAATTTTTGCAAGCTTTTTTTATATAGAATTTTGTTTATTTTCGTTTTTAATGAAAAAAATTTGAATCAGCTTTTTAATTTTTAAAATTTTATAGTTGAAAAATGGATCTAAAATATTAAAAAAAAAATTGACTCAAAAGAGAGAATATTTTCATTTTATTATAAAAGAATTAAATTCTTTCCTGATTACTTTTTGTGAATTTCATATTTGTGTGGGAGTGATTGACTTCATTTAATGAAATGTTAACTAGTGCCTAGGGGTCATTAATGAGACGGTTGGGCTTACTCAATCTGTAATTATTGTGTCTAAATTTTATATTTTAACGATTTTTTTTTATTTTTGAGTCAATGGGTTAGCACAGGTTAGGGCTGTTCAAATCGGTAATTCGGATCGAACCAGACCGAATTATACGGTTTGGTTCGATTCTATTAAGAATTGATTCGGTTTCGGATTAAGAAATAGGAAAGCCGTACAAACGGTTTAGTTAATGAATTTTATGAAAAAATCGTAGTTCGAACCGAACCGAACCGAATCGAATTTTAAAAGATATATATATATATAATATCAAATTTTATTTTTATTAATTAGTTTTTTATAATTTTAATGATATTAGGATAGTATATATATGTAAAATTAAGTAATGCCTTAATATTATTAGTTTTAATCATGAGTTAAATGTAATTAGTTTGAGTAATTATTTTGTTAATATTAATAATTTATTCTTGTAAATAGAAATTTTTGAAACCGTAAACTAAACCGAAACCGAACCGTTTTTTCGGTTTGGTTCTGGTCTGATTTTACAAGTGTAACGATCTGGTCTGATTTTCAAAATCACAGAACCGCTAGGATCAGATCGGTTCGGTTCTTGAATTTTCTCAGAACCGAACCAATCCGGACCGTGTACACCCCTAGTATAGGTCGAACTTATTTAAAAAAATTATAATCACGTTTCACTAAGTCCAAATCTTAGTAGTCAAAATTAAACCGAACCGAGTTACATATTTTTCATTCACATATTTTTAATATTTTCATGAGTTATTTTTCTTGTTTACTTTCTAACATAATTCAAGTAATTTGAATTTTTTTTTTTACCTTTTTACATTTCATATAATAAAAAAATAATTAAGTAACATATAATACCTACAAGTAGAGGGGAAAAAAAGGGAAATAAAAACAATAAAAAATTTAAATATGAGAAAAAAGAAAAAGAAAAAAAGAATCAAACTAAACATTAGACGATGCAGACTCTTACAAGCCAGGTTTATGAGCAGGCTCAAGTTATAAACCTTTGTCTAAATCCTAAATCAACTTTTATGGGTTGGAGCAAGCTGAGAGGGATTGGTCGGATTAGATAATATCAGGTTTTTTGTCTACGGGTCATTTGGGACCCTTACTAGCGCCGTAAGGACACTTGTTAGTAAAATACTTTGTGGTAAGTTTGAATCATAGAGTGAAGTTGTATGCAATTATTATTATATAATTTTTTGTTGTTTTTTCTATATTTATTGTATTACTCTACTTTATTTGATTATAAAAATCTATTGAAAATGTTGTTCTTTTGTATTCAAATATATACTCATAAAAAAATACAAAATTTAAATATTTATACTGGATGAGATTCACACTAAAATTTTTGTTTTTGAGTGGGATCCATTAGCAATTAATGTGTTTGTTTAGTGGTGAATAGTATGGACCCGTGAACTCAATTTGGACATATTATTTGACATCTTCTTTTCATTCTTTAGCTGTTGTTATAGCTCGCTGTCTGCACATTTCATTATTAGCACCAACCATGTGCTCCGTACTGCCATCACCACCTTATATTAAATATAATTTTTTATTTTATTTTTGTTAAATTCAATTATAATTATAGGTAAATTTTCTCAAGTCCAAATTTAAATTCTAAAAAATTTGAGGGATCATGAAACTCTCCCATTTTGATTATTCAAATGATTTATTTTATAGTACGAATATCATTCATAGAAAAAATTAAGTTGATCTAAAAATCGTAAAATTTCTATTTAACTGTGTTTGTCTTTCAAAAAATAAATGATCTGTTTTAAAAAACATCCTTGCTATCTATTTTTTAAAAAATAAACAAAATAAAATGAAAAAGATTACCATTATCAAATCGACATATTTTTTTTAAAATAATTTATATATAAAAATAGTTTGATAAAATAAACAGTTAAAATTTAAGTACTTTGTCATGGGTGAGAGATTTTCTCTCATAAATACTAATCTAATAACTAACATCTAACATTTATCGATAAAAATTTTTTTATCAAAACGGGACCCGAGAAATCCCACAAGCCCCCCAAATGTTTCATATTTAAATTTAAACGTAAAAAAATGGGTAATCATATAATTATATCTATGCTCATGTGATGTGTTCTCATCACATCATCTATGACTTTATCTAACTGGGTTGTATCCATAATCAGAAATCACGAGTCAAAAAGTAGACATACAGATACAGTTGAGAAACTTGAAACTCTTCTTGCTTTATTATTTGATTTGCTTTGCTACTTGTTCAATCAATAAGGTAAAAGAAAAGCGAAAGAATTGATGAACTGTATGGTGATCACGGGCTAATGTTTCTTTTTTTCTTTATAGGATAAATTATAAATATATTTTTTAAAATTTATTTAAAATACAAATTATTTTATGTAATTTTAATAATTATAAATACTCTATTATCAGAATTTTTTATTTAACAAAAAAAATAGAATTCTGAACTACTCTTCTATACAATAATAAAATTATTTGAATTGTTAATTGAAATATATTTATGATATCATTAAAAATAGTTAATTGAATTATTGATTTATTAATAAAAAATTATTTGTCATGCAATTATAATTTTAATAAAATAAAATATAAATTTTAAAATTAAAAAAAATAATTCATATATTAAATAAATGTCAAGGAGTATTTTATTAGGTCACGATGATAACAGAAGAGAAAGGACAAAAACAGAAATCAAAGTTTTAGGTAGTTCAAAAAAAAAAAAAAGGTTTTAGGTAAGGTGTAGTAGGCACGTTCAACCCACTTTTGCGGCTAATATTGGAAGCATCTAGCTAACCTGTTTGTTCACAAGCTAGGGATGGGATGGTGGAAAAAAGGTCTAGTCTAAGGAATATTTATCAAAGGAGAATAGGCACACAAAAGCAATTAATTACATATGGTGTTTTGGTCTAATTGAGTGAAAGTTAAAAACTGGTAACCACAAATTAGAAGTTAAAAATATTTTTTTCTATCAATTTTTAGATATATATTTTTTAATTTATTTAAGTTATTTTTGCTTAAATTACTATTCTAGCTAAAAAGTTACTATTTTTTAAATCGAGTAATATATATGACAATCTATTAGAATATTTAAGATAACTTTTTTTCTTATATGTTTTTTAATTATTAGCCAATCATATCTTTTACAGATGGCTAAAGTGAGTCTAAAAGTTGAACTTGTATACCATTTCTCTTTTATCTAAAAAATTATAAGTAAAAATTAAATCAAATATTTAATCTACTGCAAATACTCCAATAAATTACCTAAATATAATTCAAGTCATATATATTAGATGGTGGGACTACCATGAAAGATAATGCTTCCCCGAGATTGCTCCATTATGTTTTGTGTAGTCCTGGC